ATTTACTTTGGAACTACGAGGAGTTTACTCGGGAGATCCCCCTATACTACATATTTACTTTGGGACTACGAGGCGTTTACTCAACTGCATATTTACTTTGGGACTACGAGGCGGTTACTCCAGAGATCCCCCCTGTCGTGCATATTTACATTTGGGACTATGATGTGGTACCTCGGGAGTGCCCCGATTGTTTACTTCTATATATTATGCTGATATTTTCTCTAAAACTTCTTATTGTTTAAATTCTCAGTCATTTCAAAATATTATTATATCTTTTGCCTTACTTTTTTTTTAAACCATTAGGGCCCTGACCTGACCTCGTCACTACTCTACCGAGGTTAGGCTTGGCACTTACTAGGTACCGTTGTGGTATACTTATACTACACTTTTGCATATCGTTTTGTGCAGATCCAGGTTCTTCCCATCAGACCAGATACCAGTGAGTTGGACCGCACGTGGAGACTTCAAGGTACATCTGCCAGCGTCCGCAGACCTCAGAGCCCTCCTCTATCCTTACTATGTTATTTTTCCTTATTATTTTTAGACTCTGATGTATAGAGACACCTAGTATTTGCTCTTAGAAGCTTGTGACTTGTTTTCACCGGGTTTTGGGAGTTGTAATTATTAAATGGCAGTTTTATATTTATATATCATGTGTTGAGATTGGAGTTCAGTTTATTATTTATTGATTCCGCAAATATGTTAGGCTTACCTGGTCTTAGAGACTATATGCCATCACGATGTCCTACGGAGAGAAAAATGGAATCGTGACAACAAGCGTCGCTTCTGCAGAGCACACTGGCCAGCAGCCCTATCACACTTGCGGAAATTTTTCCGCTCCTGCGCAATAGCGGTGCGACACTTCCTCGTGCATCTGCACATTTCACGCACTTGCGGTAGTGGTTTCGCTTCTACGTACATACAGGTGCGCTGCTAGTTTCCGCTTCTACGAGCACACGCCCAGCTCGCTCAAGTTCGCTTCTGCGCCTTCTCCTCCACTTTAGCGAGCATGCACATGCGGTCCTAAAAGCGCAAGTGCGAAGGCACCAGCAACCAGAATTTTCAGTAGCTTCAACAAGGCTCCAACCGATCCAGACCCCATTCGAAACTCATCTGAGCCACAAGGGACCTCGTCCGACTATACCAATAAGTCACGTAATATAACACGGATCTACTCGGGGTTTCAAATTATATCAAACAATGTCGAAATTACGAATTGCACCTCGGATCGCACTTATAAATTTTTAAATTTCTAAATTCTATATCTTGTGCCGAAACGTACCAAATCAACCCGGAACAACGTCAAATTTTGCACACAAGTCCCAAATGACGTAATGGAGATAATCCAACTCTCAGAATCGAAATCCTATCCCGATATCACCAAAGTCAACCCTCGGTCAAACTTATAAATATTTCAAAACATCAACTTTCCAATTTCGCCAAAATGCGCCGAATCGTCCTACATACTTCCAAATCCAAATCCGGACATACGCCTAAATCCGAAATTACCATACAAAGCTATTGAAATCATAAAAATTCTATTCCGGAGTCGTATGCACAAAAGTCAAACTCAGGTCAACTCTTTTTACTTAAGCTTCAAAAAGAAGAATTGTTCTTTCAATTTAACCTTGAATCATCCGAAAACCAAACTCGACCACACACGCAAGTCATAATACACATTACGAAGCTGCTCGGGACCTTATGTCGCTGAACGGGTTAATTCTCAAAACGACAAATCGGGTCGTTACACATGGATTACCAACTTGGAATGAGGGGGTTGTTTGGACTGGATATTTTCGGATTGGGCTCTTGTGTTGGGACAAAATTAATTTAAATAGTAGCCATTGTGTGTTTAATTAAATAATTACAATTGTAACCTCTTAGCCTTTTAACCCTTTTGAAATTAATTTAAATAAACTTAATTATTTCCAATAAAATATAGTAAAATTGTTAACATCAAATATACTACTAATTATTGTAATTAATTATTTATAAAATACTTTATTTTCTAAATTATAACACTAATTTTGAATTATTAACATAGTAATCTTAATTATTCAAAACTTCAATAACAACGATAACAATGGTAATGGTGCTTAGTGATGAAAGGGTAGGAGTAATAATAAAATATTATTTTTATATAAACTCTTGAATGTATAATATATTAATGATATTAAGACTTTGCTATAGATCTTAATCGTTAAAATCTATTCAGACTCATTAAGTGGTTGTAAAATTAAAAAAATAAGCAGACATAATAATTATGATTAAGATCTAAATGATTAAGATTTAAATTTAAAAAATAAACGTACTTAATGACTAAGATCGAAATAATTAAGATTCAGGCCTTCATTAATTACAAACAAATGAGGCCTTATTCACATTCAATTTTATATAAAATAATACAATGGTATTTGAATAGATTATACAAATATTATTTGTCCAGAGGTTTATGGCAAAACTAAAACTTTTGCCAAATTAGTTGTACTCCCTTCGGTCCTTTTTAGTTTTCATTGTTAGTAAAATAATTGACCCAAAATATTTATCATTTTAGGAAACCAAGAAATGATTTTTTTTCACCTTTATCCTTACTTTAATAAATGTAGAGAGAGATTAATTTTGGTGAAACCGAGAGTAATAATAATTTAAGATCAAAGAACAAATAAAAATAATTTAGTTAAAATATTTTTATAGTTAACATTTTCTTATATGGCATGTAAAAGTCAAAGGGAAAATACATAAGGACCCATTGAACTATGACTCTTTTTACAAAGGAACACTGAAACTTTAGGAATGTCTTATTACCTTTCTAAACTAATTGGAAATAGTATTGATACCACCTTTTGATACTAGCACAAGTTTTATCTTCTTTTTTCAGTTTCTTCTTCTTCTCCTTGTCGTAATTTGTGGTACGGAAACATCTAGGCCAAGAAATGGATCCTGAAACATAGGGATATTGACTAAAAAGTCAATTGAGTTAGCGAAAATTTTCTAAAAAGGAATATCAACATTGCTTGTGTCCAGGAGACTAGATGGGTGGGGACTAAGGCTCGAAAGGCAGACGGGTTTAAGTTATGGTACTTAGGAGAGGGGAGGGGAGGGTGAGGGGGAAGAATGGGGTAGGCATCTTAATTGACAGGGAACTTAGAGAGCTAGTAGTAGAGGTTATAAGGGTGAATAATAGGCTGATGACGAGGAAAAGCCCAAAATCATACATGATTTTAGGTTTTAGACTCAAAGTCATACATATTCTTTCACATGGAGTACTAATAGTACATTTACTTTAATAAAGTGGTGCACTTTTAGTCATAACACTAAGAAAAAGTCCAAAAACATACATTATCTTTGGTTTTAGACTCAAAGTCATACATATTCTTCCACATGAAGCACTAATAGTCCATTTACTTTAACAAAGTGGTGCACTTTTAGTATAACACTAAACACATTTTAATTTTTAACAGAAATCTAAGATCTGACAAAATATTTGTTCCCTTTATTTTCTTGTTTACCGAAAAAAATAAAAATGACAAATTTATCTAGATAGCAAATAGTAAATATACATAGAATTTATTTACTATTTATCTATTTACTATACGTAAAATATACACTTTACTAAGAAATGTTAAATATCATTAATTTTTATTTGCAATGATTTTTATCTAGATAACCTCAAATGTTATCTAGATTTTTTATTATATACATAATATTTATTTTTATTTTATGTATATTTACAATACGTTGACTCCCATAAAATAAAAAAATCTAATAAATATATATTTATTTTATGTTAACGTATAGTAAATATTTATTTACTCTCAGCAATGATTTTACGTATATTTATTTTATTTCAACGTATAGTAAATATTATGTATATAATAAAAAATCTAAATAACATTTGAGGTTATCTAGATAAAAATTATTGCAAATAAAAATTAACGGTGTTTAACATTTCTTAGTATAATGTATATTTTACGTATAGTACATAGATAAATAGTAAATAAATTCTATGTATATTTACTATTTTCTATCTAGATAAATTTGTCATCTTTATTTCTTTCGGTAAACAAGAAAATAAAGGGAACAGATATTTTGTCAGATCTTAGATTTCTGTTAAAAATTAAAATGTGTTTAGTGTTATGACTAAAAGTGCACCACTTTGTTAAAGTAAATGGACTATTAGTGCTCTATGTGGAAGAATATGTATGACTTTGAGTGTAAAGCCAAAGATAATATATGTTTTTGGGTTTTTTCTCGGCTGATGACTCTTAAAATAGTTTGGGGGAAGGGGGGTTACTTTGAACATAATTAGTGCTTATGTAACTCAAGTGTGTTTGGATGAGGTTAAAATGAGCTTCTTGGAGGACTTAGATGGGTTGGTGTAGGGAATCCCGCACATCGAGAAGCTTATCATATGAGGAGATTTTAATGGCCACATTGGGACGACGTTCGGGGTTATGATGGTATGCATGGCGGCTTCGATTTTGGAGACAGAAATTGAGGAGGAACTTCGCTATTGGATTGTACTAAAACTTTTGATTTGGTAATTGCTAACTCGTATTTTTTGAAGAAGGAGAAACACTTGGTCACCCAAATTGAATATCTAAGGTTATACATGGATTGCAAGGTCATCCCAAGTGAGAATCACAGGACTTAATATAGGCTATTGGTTATGGATTTGGAGATCATGCGAACACAAAAAAAAGGGTTATGTATGGTCTACGTAGGATCAAGTGGGGTGACTTGACTAAGGATAAAGCTCAGGAGTTGGGGGAGAAATTACTGGTGATGGGGGCCTGGAGGAGTAGTGGGGACGCGAGTTGTATATGAACCATGACAGCAAAATGTACTAGAGAAGTTGCGAGAGAGGTGTTAGGGGTCTCGAAAGGTTTCTATGGTGGTCGCAAAAGGGACTGTTGGTGGAATAAAGAGGTCCAAGGAAAAGTGAAAGAAAAAAAATAGAGTATTTGAAGCTAGTAGATAGCATAAATGAGGCGGAGAAGATGGCCAACAGGGAGTGGTATAAGAAGGCTAAGAAGGAGGTGAAGTTAGCGGTTACTGTGGCTAAGACTGCAATGTTTAGACATTTGTATGAAGAGCTCAGGGAGAAAGGTGGAGATAAGAAGTTGCACATACTGGCTAAAGTGAGAGAAAGGAAGACCCGTGATCTGGATCAAGGTAAATTCATAAAATATGAGGATGGTAGAGTTTTGATGGATAAGGCACAGATTTGGCAGAGATGACAGTTATACTTTCATAAACTCTTGAATGAAGGTGGGGGATAGGAACATTGTGTTGGGTGATTTGAATCACTCGGGGAGTCATCAAAAATTTAAGTACTGTAGGCGCATAAGAGTGGGGGAGGTCGAAGGGGCGATGCGTAGGATGAGCAAAGATAAAGTGACCGGGCCAAATGAAATCCCTGTAGAATTCTGGAAGAGCACGTGTAAGGCGGGGTTATAATGGCTCTCTAGGTTGTTTAACATCATTTTTAGGACAAAGAAGATGCTAAAGAGTAGAGGTGGAGTACGATGATTTCGTTGTATAAGAACAAGAGTGATATCCAGAATTGCAACAACTATAGGGGTATCAAGTTGCCAAGTCATACGATGAAAGTTTGGGAGGTGGTGGTAGAAGGGAGGGTGAGGAAAAGTGTGTTTATCTTAGAGAACCAGTTTAGTTTCATGTCAGGTTGTTCGACTGCGAAAGTCATTCATCTGGTGAGGAGATTGATGGAGCAATATAGGACAATGAAGAAGGACTTGCATATGGTGTCCATTGGCCTAGAGAAAGCATACGACAAAGTCCCGAAAGAGGTTATATGGAGGTTTTTGGAGACTAAAGGTGTGCCTATAGCATACGTTAGGGCGATTACAGATATGTATGATGGAGCTAAGACACGAGTGAGGATAGTGGGGGAGACTCAACACACTTTTCGATTGTGATGGGTTTGATTAAGGATCGATCCTCAACCCGTTTTTATTTTTTTTTTGGTGATAGATGTATTGACGCGACACATTCTAGGTGTCACGACCCAAAATCCATAAAGGTCGTGATGGCGCCGGACACCACTGTCACGCAAGCCAACAATAAATACTTAATTGGGTTCTCATTTTGTTACTTTTGAAATTATATTTTTCTTCAATTTAAATAGTAAAGAATGGGGATTTGCAGAGTAAATAATGATATTTTTTAATAAATTAATACAGAACAATCCATAATCATCGCAATACCCGGTGTCACAAGTGCATGAGCATTAACTAGGAATATAAAATAAAATACAGCAGCTGTCCGGAATACAAGTTGGACAGAAAAAATGTAAACACTCTGAAGGAAACTCTGCTGGATGCGGATCGACGAATGAAATGCAGCTCACCTAGGTCCCCGCATGTATACATGCCTCTACTCTCATATGGCCTCTAGAAATATATGTACCTACACAAAATGTACAGTAAGTGTAGTATGAGTACGAAATCAACGTGTACCTAGTAAGTGTCTAGCCTAACCCCGGAGAAGTAGTGACGAGGGGTCGATATCGACACTTACTAGTGGTCAAATAATATCATGTACAGTAAATAGGTAGGTAAACATGAAGCAACATAAATAAATGAGATAAACAAGTATAGATTATGTGGTACAAATACCCCTCTTTACGAGGAAC